CGGTGTTTTCTATTGCAATATATATATACCGGGTGTTTTTGCGAAGACTTTCAGAAATCCTAAAAATTAGGGCGTTTGAAAAAATAAGAAACTATCTTCGGGAACAAACTACCAGCCACGGCGGACGTCAGAGATTGCAAAAAACATACTAATTAGCCAGCTAATTAATTAAAATTTGTTAATTAACTTTTTAATTAGGGGAAATAGACATATGGTTCCAATTAGAAAGTTGCTGAGCGTTATTGAAAACCACTAAATCAGTCGTTTTCAGAAAGACTTTGAGCGCGTGAGAAGCGTAGTAGTGCACTAAAGTTACCGCTCTTTGAGCAGGTACAAAGCTAGCGGTTGCGATAAGACGCCCGCGCGATTTTTCCGACTCTTATCTAGCCCCAGCCTTGTACCTGCTCCACGAGTGGTAAATTTAGTACAATACTACGCTTCTCACGCGCCGAAAGTCTTTTTGAAAATGATTGATTTAGTAGTTTTCGATAACGCTCAGCAACTTTCTAATTAGAATCATATGTGTATTTCCACTAATTAAAAAGTTAATTAACAAATTTTAATTAATTAGTTGGCTAATTACTATGTTTTTGGCAATTCCTGACGTCCGCCGTGGCTGGTAGTTTGTTCCCGAAGAAAGCTTTTTCTTTTTTTGACGCTTTAATTTTTAGGATTTTTGAAAGTCTTCGCAGAAACACCCGGTATATATATATATATATCCTGGAGTAAACGTATTCTGGACAAAAAATAAAAGAAAACACGCTTGTTTTAATTATTATTTCTCCGGTTGGTGCCATTGCCTTTGGCCGTACTAATTTGACCCCCGAAGAACAGTTGCACACAATTGTTGCATCGACAAACGTCGATACCTGAAATTAATAAACTCCTGGACGTAGTCGCTGGGAAACACTTATTCATCCCACCATATTCCATGAATCCACACGCGGCCGCGTGAGTGGGAGTGGTAAAGTATGTATTAGAGAAGTTTTAACTGCTCCTCTTCCTCATTTTATGCAACCTCTACGGTCCATAGCTCTTAATGTTACAAAAACACAACCTCATCCTTTCTCTTAAAGCACAAATAGTATGGTTCAAACTGCAAACCAAAGCAGTCGCTTTTGTCATAACCCGAAAGTACATTGACCTGTTCCCCTGAATGAACCTTGAGGAGATAAGCGGTGAGAGCCCTTTTGACAATGGTCCACGATAGGAATGATGAAGGCGGCATATTCCCGGGATCATTAGATTTGTGTGCAGAAAAAAACTTAATTGCAAAATATTGTGCTTTGTTGTTGTGTGAAGGCGGGGGGGGGGGGGGCATTCACATTACAATTAAGAGTTTATTAGATAAATCTAAATGGGCCAAAGTTCTACCGGCAGGTGTCCTTTATTGTTTTTGGCGGATTTATCCAAAAACACGGAACCTACATATAAATTACGATTTTTAGAACTGTCTTTAGCCATTTTTATTTATTAACATCTAAACATAATGGATGGGGCACATATAACCTGATAAAATGTTGAATCTGTATAACAGGGGTAAATGATGTGGAAGATATACCACTTAAAAGTTTAGTCCACAAAAAATATTATTTGTTTTAAGATTTTGCTTTGTATGCAAATGATAGCGTAATATATCAACCGTATAAGCGAATCTGCTGTTTTTCAGTAGGGTCGGGTCTTTACTGCTCTTCTTCGGGTGGTGCCACTCTTTGCTCTAACCGATGCCTAATTGACGCAAACATACGTAAGAAGAGAGGGCTGCACAGTGATGAGCACGCTGCAGTCGAGGGAAGGAACGTTCGTGTCCTGATATACCAAAGTGCGTCGCTCTGTGTACATTTGGAGCTGCGCTACCTGGGTTTTTGTGACCAAGTGCACGGCACAATGACGATTTCACAATAGACTGCAAGCCAGAGCGCGAATCAACATTAATACTGCGTCAAACTCGGTAAATATAGAACATAGATCTTTGTAAAGATTAAGCACGATTGTGTCAAAAAGCAGTGAATTTTACGAAATGCTTTAAGTGGCGCAAGCGCTTCAAGAACGGCAGAACATCGCCTGAATACGAAGATCGAAGACGAAGGCGAGATTATTCGACCTCTCCTTGACCTCAGTGACGTTCTTCCATCCTTGAGGCACGAGAGCCGCTCAAAATACCCTGCACAACTCAGTGCTTTTTGACATAAGCATTTTAAATAATGTCAGAGGTCTCTGTTTCAGATATGCCGAGTGTGACGTAAAAGTGGTTCTCGCTCTCGTTTTTTTTTGCAGTCTATGGGAAGTTTGCAATTTGCAGCTCCAAAAGTTCACAGAGCGACGCCCTTTGGTAGACCAAGACACGCAGGTGCCTTCCTTCGAGTGCTGCGCGCGTATCACTGAGCTGTATTTTCTTTTTAACCTACAAAATCAGTCGCGGAACTTTTTTTTTATCACACTCGTATAACGAAAGACAGATAACGCTTTTAAAGTGATCCGAAAGCAAAGGCTAAAACGACACTGAACCGGAGGCACTTATCAAAATCTTCAAAAAAGAAAAAAAAAACCTTAAATATTAAAACCGGTTTAAGAGATCAGATGCGCGGTCATACTGCACTAGCTAAATTGTCTACTAACCACGGGAATAGCAGACACAACTTTTAACACGGTCAGGTTGAGGAAACTTAATTGTTTGCGCAAACTGAGATGAACACATAGAAGTAGACACGATCTTCTTCGTGTACTCCTCTGTTCGCCATACATATTTCTTAGCTGTCAATCCTTAACTAAAGTAATTCACAACTTAAAAATGGGAAGGCGTTGCGAGTCCCAATCATCTTATATTCACTCCGCCGCCAGTCAGATTGGCGTATTTTATCACGATGTCGTTAAAGGCCTCGTCTGCCAGAAATGCCGGAGTCGGTGGGAAAATTGATTGATCAATAGGATTATGACGTCACAGTTACATAAACCAGCGCGGGAATTTCAAACATCCCACAACGCTCACGTGAATCGTGACGCCACGAGTGGAATGCAAGCGATGAAAACATGACATGTAATTGGAATTAAATTTCGCCGCATGCCTTAAATGATCTCACTTTATTAAGTAATTCAATTGCCTTAAAATATTTGAAGAATGTTACGCGGGATTTTAACCCACGACCCTTCGGTGGCGAAGCTAGGAATGCTACTGACTGGGCCACGCAAGGTGCGCTTGCGCTTGCACGATGAAGTAGAAGGTGATGCAAACGGGGCCTGAAAACGCTATCGCGTTCCACTCTTAAACGCGAAGCTTATAGTCTTCCAAGTTTTTTTCTTTATAAGTATGCCGAATAACCAATTACAAAGCGTACACATTATAAGCCACGTGAAGTATTTTTTTAAAGATGTCAGTGCCCCAATTACAAGTCTTGTTAAACCCGGTGATCTGCCGTACCGCAACCTCCATGTTCCATTCGGCATCCTTTACTTTTTGTACACTTAACTGCATTCGGTCTCAATGACATTGAAATATCTATGCAGCAGGTGCAAATTTTCTTGCGTTCTGTGAACTATTTCGTGTAAACATTAACACGTAACCTGGTTTAAGACAAACAGGGGGTACCTTAGAAGATGTTAATGACTCCAACTGCGTAAGCCTTCCGTTCGATTCATCTTGCGTTGATAGCGCTGCTCCACCGCTAAAAGCCAGAACAAAAAAAAATATTGTTATTTCGCCGGAATTAATTTGGTATTAAGTGGCAATAATTTGTGGCCAGGGCTACAGTGGAAATGTTTTTCATATACACAGGAGACACCACATTGCCTATGTGTTTCACCGAATTCTTGCTGTTCCAGCTGCCGAGACTTATACACAACCTGTATAAACCACCAAAAACGTCGTCCCCTTCCTTCTTGGAAATTTAAATTCAAATCCAGCACCTCTACACACTGTTGTCTCAAAAGGAATGGAAAACCAGGTGATATCAAAACATAGCTGCTACCTTTCAAATCTAGGTTATCAGAAAAACACTATCATTTTGTCAATTTTAATATGAGTGGTCGGCATACCAAAAGTATGCATAATTTTTTGGAATTAACAATTTGATTTTTTTTTTGTAAAGTTGCGTGGGCGTGACTCAAAGAAATGTGAACGGTCCTTCAGGCAGGGTAGCTACATCCTGCTTTTTCCATTTAACAACTGAGACTTAGGTTAACCTCCGGAAATATCGCATCTCTACCCAGCGGCTTATCTATGGCACCTTAGTTCATACAAAGTCTTCCCCTCCCGTTTGTAAAGGCGCGAAGTGTTTCCACAAGTCGGCAACTAAGGACTCTTCGAACCTCGCCTTCGACAAAATGGCGTTTTGACAAAAGGGATAGATAAAAAAATGAATAAATTAAATGTAAAAAACAAAGTTTTCAATCTAGCAGAATGAGAGACCGTTTTAAAAATCTGAAGTAACATGGAAAGAAACGGTTACTTTTCAAAAAATGATATATTGCTTCTTTTTCAACTAATCCAATAAAAAAATTCTATACTTTTTAACGACAAAAAATTGTAATTGTAGTTGAATTCCTTTAGTAACATGTAAAAACTGAGCTTCATTGACTTTGCAAGCATACAGAACCTTCAGAACCCTCCACTACAAAGCATGCCGGCATGAAAAAACACTCATGAACGTCGACACCGAGAACAATGACACCTGCCGCCCTCCAAGGAACGTTGGCCTCCTAGAGCTGCAAGTAACGAACCAATTAATGATGAATGATTTTATTCATTCTGTCATTGATTTACTCAAACTTCGAGATTTGTTTCCCAATCATTGCTTATAATCATCGTTATCCTTCTTCGGGTTTCTGTTTTAATTGCTTTGAAATTTACTCTTCATGAAACTTCGTATTACCTTCCCTCAGCAAGGAGTTGCAGCCTAAGCGAACGCCACCTAGAGGAATCAAGGCCCGTGAATATCCTTCTCTTTCCCCATGGAACGACATCACAGTCGGCTGGCGCCAACTCAAAGAATGGATCCTATCACAACGCCAAGTGTCCTTTGATGCATGGACTGGACTCGAGGGCGAGACCAAAGCCTCCGCAGAACTCGTGTTCAATCTATTTTTGCTCGATCTCCCTGGGATGATGTTAAACTTCTAGATCACAGGTTTTGACTATTCTAGGTCATGTTGGTTAAGCTCACGCTTTCTCGTAGTTCCTTTCTTGCTCGACTGCGGTTACTCAAGTTATTTCTGTCATTTACGGTGAGCCATAGGTATAAAAATGTCAATACTCGGACTTGGCGGGTTCCCTCTGCCCTTCATCCGCAATCCCGATGCTCAGTGTCTTAGGAGCACGTGCGTCTTGAAGCAGTTCTTCGAGGCTGTGGTAGACGCTCCCGGTGTTATTTTCCATTAACATCAACATACTCATGTGCTTCAACAGGTTGCCCTGGTTGCTCACAAGGATCCGGGTCTGAAGAAAAAATATATTAGAAAATTAAATGCAAAGTAAAAAACAAAATCACTACGTTAACAAAAGCATCAACAGAAGCAAATGCTTGTACACAACTTATAAAAGAATACGAAGCGAAATCGACGGCAACGGGGTGACGTCTGTCGACGACGTGAATGGGGCCGATCTTGGGAAGAGTTTGCAGGCTTCCGCAACTTTTCTCAAGCTTGAGTCATCGCAGTCATGAAAACATTTGCTCCTGTGGTTCCAAAAACTCCCAAACACGGAAAATAATTATCTGTTTCCGAATGGTGAACCGGATGAACGTCGCTGACTGGCGCCAACGAGCAAGTGACCCTCACCATTTATCTAGATTCTCATTGTTCTCCGCAACCCTCGATAAGCGCAGCCACCTTCAGAGTTCAGCAGAAATCTAGATGGATTTTGTGAGAAAAAATAACCGGGTTTTTAGGCTTGTGCAAATAACCCATGCACTGCAAATTGCTCAAAGCGGGTGAGAATATTTCGCTAGCGGATGGAGGTATAACGCTAATGTTTGAAAACTTGGCGTTACCTGGATCAGAATATAGTTGAGAAAGACACAATTTCGACAAGAGCCTACGTTCACATAAGCCTAATAATGTCAAAACAATGACTGACATGGGGACCGCTTGTGGGATTTACACCAGAGAAAACACCTGTGAGCAAGAAAGATAATAGATGTTTTATCTTTTTTTTTAGAAATCTTTTTTTTTTCATTCTAAGATAGTCTACAGGCGCGCCCCAATATCAGTCCATGTGTTGAAAAATATTAGGCTTAAATGGACGTCGGCTCCAGAGTAATTTCAAATATCTTGGAAACTAATGTATGGGAAACTTGACTGAAATGCGATACGGAAGTAGAAAGCTACCCTGGCATCAGGGAGTGGCCAACTAATCATATTCACCGGAAATATAGCAAGTGGGTCTGACTCAGTAGAGAATTCGATAATCTATAAAATATTTCTTTATTTGATGGCGCATAAGCTCGTGATATTGGACGTCTTGGCCTTTTCATATCGAAATGCAGTGTGCTGTTAGAGGTGTTAGGATTTGCATAGCGATCGTCTACAACCAAAATAATTAATTACATTTTCGAGCTTCGCGACTTATATGTATTATATCTACCGAGACATGTATTAGAAGATGTGATTGACTTTAATTGACAGTGTTTGGCAATGAGCATAGAATCTTGATGAGATCGACTTGAAATGGCTGTAATTGATACAAGTGAATGATATTGGTAATTATGTGATTTTTGTTTTTGTTCACATACATAAATGGCTCTAAAGGGACCCTGAAAATAAAAAAAAAATGTTTTAAAAAGTCTGGTTGGGACACGCGTGTCAAAGAATTAATTTTACGAGAAAAAAAAAATGTTTTTCTTAGCGCAATATTGACGGTGCGAGACGCGATTTAGTCTGTAGTCACCTCCTTTCTACGAGTTTTCTCTCGGCATTTCGGGCGCGTGGAGGAGTGGTGAATCGGCTTCGCCTTCACGTTGAGGCGGAAAGAGCAAATTAATATTTCGTCGAGCGAATGACTATACTGTGACGTCATGGACTTTGCGCGCAGAATTTCAAATAAATTTCTCGCTGTCAATATTGCTCTACAAAATTTGTTTTCGCGTAAGGTTTATTTTTCGACACGCGTGTCCCAACCAAACTGTTAAAAAAAATTTTAGTGTTTTTAAAGTTTCTTTTGTTTGGTGTCAGCCTCTTCTTAAGGAATAATTGGGGTTGTGTGGATATTTATACACCTTATAGTTGGTCAGCGTTTTCAAAGTTGCGACGAGTCACTCGCTGTAGATGAGCAATTTCGGCAGTACAATACAACCGCACGCCTGGAGTTTTTAACATGGACCACGCAGTAGTGATGCACGAACGTACGCCGGTACGATGCTCATTCAGATCGAAACGGGCAGTGATGGGGATTGAGCCCAGGATTCTGAGGTTCTGCAGCGGGAGCTTTCGCTCCTCGTGCTCCGAGCTGGTGTGCGCTACCCCACTAGGCCACCGATGCCCCCCACCCTTCTTTAGGAAGACTGACGTGAAATGTCTGTCATTGGACATTGATAAGATAATTGGCAATTATATGCTAGTTCGGTGTTTGCGAATAAGTCTGGCTTCGATTGACTATTATTGGCTATAAGCATCAACTTTTTGTAAGTATATCTGCTTGATACGGCTACAAATGGCAATTAATAACACGTTCGGAAAATTATTATCTACTTTTTCTTTATGAACTGGGATGGCGGAATGGCTTCAAGTGGCTATGGCTGGGTATTAGCATCTGTTTCTGACCAGGTTGGCTTTAAATCGCTAGCAAAAGCAATTAGTGATTATAATTGACAATTATGTGCTATTTCAGTGTTTATACCTGAGAATGCCTTCAAACGGCTATTATTGCCTATAAGCCTTTTATTTTTTATTAGATTGGCTTCAGATGGCTACAAATGGCTATTTTGAATTACTGTTGATAGTTATGGGCTATTTTTGTGTTTATACGAACTGGAATGACATTATGTAGCTATTGTTGGCTACTAGCATCTACTTTTGGCCAGATTGGTATAAAATGACTAGCAAATGGCCATTAGTGAGTACAACTGACAATTCTATTTAATTTCAGTTTTTAGGGTTGAGAATAGATTCGATGACTATTATCGGCTATACTCATAATTTGTTATTAGATTGGCTTAAAATAGTAACAAATGGCTATTAGGGGCAAGTATTAATAATTATAAGCCATTTCTGTGTTTAGAAACTCGAAATAGATGATATGGCTATCATTGGCTGTTAGCATCTCTTTTTGACCTAGATTGGCTTCATATGTCTACCATTAGCTACTGGTGGGAATACTTGACAAACACGTGCTATTTCATTGTTCATGCATCACAATAGCTTCAAGTGGCTATATTGGCTATGAGCATATATTTCCAATTAAATCGGTTCGAAATGACAGCATATAGCTATTGGTGAATATTGTTAATAAATATATGATACTTTTGTTTTTACAAATGATAATGACTTTAAGATGGCTGTTTGTTTGCTACTAGCATCTAATTCGTGCAATAGTAGTTTCAAATGGCTATCAATGGGTATTGGTCAGCATTGGTAGCCGGTATTGTGAATGGCAGTCGGCGGCGAAAACTCTATCTGGCACTAACCACTGCGTTTTGTAGAGCACATCGACCCTCTTCAAGCGCCTGGTACGAGCATCATGGTCGGCGTATCGATAACTGCATTCGTCACGTATTGAACTGTGACGAGGCAAAGGGCGGACGATTGTGACGCTGCGGCTGACGACAACAAGGACAACCGAGTGGCTCCAGCTGAGTGGCCATAACTTCATCGGGGGTTATATAAGGATCCCCCCAGCGTCCATCCCTTGCAGTCGGCGGCGAAAACTGTGTGTGGCACTAACCTCTTCGTTTTGAACAGGTGAGAGAAGAGTTGCTCCGTCAGCCTTTTCTTTTTCTTCTATTGCCGCTGACTGCACAGTGTTCACTGTATCTCATTTATCCCTGCCGACATTTGTGTGCGCTTAGGCAATGTCCTTTTAAGATTCATATGAATTGCATGAAACGTGCTCAGCCTTTACTATCTAAGGGGAGGTTCGTGACATGTGTAACCTGACGAAATGGTTACCACCTCGACAGGCCCTGCTCCGGGGTTGCCGATAGCACGTTTTCTGTGATGGGCGCTTCCAGAAGAGAAAGCTAGAAATGTCCTACGTGCTGTACCGGTGAGCTTCGATCCCGTTCAAGGGCGGGCGATGTCGCTCTAGTGGATGACATCACTCAGGCTGTCGGGAACCGGCAGAAGCAGGTCAACGGCGCTAGTGCTGCTAGTGCTAGTGCGGCAGATGCTGGTGGTGCTAGTATCAATCGCCAGGTGGCTACGAATATCGCCGCACTTAATGAGCTCCCCTCGCTAAAAACTAGTGTCGAGACACTATAGGGGGCATTCAGTGGACCCCATATTTGAGGGCGATGTTCAGGGCGCACGCTCTGAACGAGCTTACATTAATAGCCTGCTAAGACCGACAATATTGATGGTGTCGAATGCACGTTGCAAAAGAACTGTGGAAGCTCGCCGACAGCACGCGCTCAGCAACCACGCGCACATATATGGCCGCGAGTGAATTGCCACTTCCAGAAAAAGTTGATCAGTTGCTAGCCCTGGTAACCTGTTGTCGCAGAACTACGCACCACGATCTGCGAACTTCAGTCGACCTTTGACTCTTTTAGCACGAAGTGTGATTCAGTGCTGGATTTTACCTTGACAAACGAGGAATCTGTCAAAGATCTACAAAAATAAGTAGGTGCGGTTAGGGACACGGTGGTGGATCAGTCTCGGGAAATTGAGCGCCTAAAACAGGAATTTAATGGCTCCTAGCAGTATAGCCGCCGGTGCAATATGGAGGTGCATGGCCCATGAAGAAGATTTGATGAGCGTCATGAAAGATCTTTCTGTGAAGCTCAGTCTTCCTCCCCTCCAGTCATCAGACATCCTCGCAATTCATCGCCTGCCGAGAAAGAAAGACTCTTCTTCAACGGTCCTCATTAGTTTCGCTACAGCTAGTCTAAAAAGTGTCTGGATGGCGGCACGCATCAACCTGAAGAAATTGAGCCAATCAAATAACCCGCTGAAGTTGTTCTTCAAAAACAACCTTACCGCGGCGAACAGAGAGCTATTTTGAATGGCTAGATCGAAGCGCAAAGAGCGCGGGTTTCAGTTTGTATGGCTGAAAAATGCTAAAATATTTGCGAGAAAAGTCGAGGGATCACCAGCCATGCGTATAAGTGTAGTACGCCATCGAGATACGCTGGTGTGATTCATGTCAATCTGCTTTTCAATCCCAGATTGCAGTTCGTTGAATCGGGTTTTGGGGCCTATATCTGAAAACTCTTTAATGTTGATTCATGTGAATATTAGAAGCTTGCGAAAGCAATGGGACGAGTTCCAAATATCTGTAAACAG